AAACCCAAGGGTGTCGGTAGAGGTAGAACTGCCCTCGCTATGCCCTTGAATCATCAAAGCCTTCCAACTACGTCTGGATGTCTGGGGGCCCGGCCGTAAAAGGCCGCTCATTGCCGTAATGGGAAGGGCGGATTAGACCAGGGGTTCCTAAACTTTTAAGATGATGGAACCCTTACTAAACACCTTTCATTTAATGAAGCCCCATATCAAATTACTAAAAATCAAAGGCAATGCAGTTTAAATATGAATAAAAACTTTTACTAGAAAAATTTAATTTTAATGTGATGAATGAAATTACCTCACTGTGGTAATTATTTTATAAAGTAGTAATTCGATATAATGTCTGAAAGCTGAATGCGCATTTCTGGGGTAGCATCCAATTTTGACCTACATTTATTTTTTGTATAAGTGTAAGCTGAAAATCCAGTTGAGTATGGCCATTTTAGTGACTTCGTGATATTTACTCTTAACACTAACCCAAAACTCTTTCAGAGACACAGATTCAAATGTGTGTTTCAATGTCGAAGTACTCTGAAGGCCTATGAATGCTTCGTAAATGGATTTTGTACCAAAGCGATATTACTACTACCATCCGAAAAATAATCTGACAAAGATTTCAGGTGATTTACCAAGTGTCCAGTTATGACATTTCACATTTCATTTTGCAATTCATCGCGTTTCTTGCAGAAAGTTTTATATAACCCTTGGCTACAGCGGCCAACTGCACATACCGGTTAGAAATAAAATTATAGTTTGAAAACTAAAACCTCGCTATTAAAATTTCCATTCGTACTGTCATCAGGTTACTTTGAGAATGGAAGTTTAAAGCAATTCTCATTCGCACTGTCATCAGGTATGTAACTTGAGAATGGAAATCGCTGCATCTTTTAGGCGCATCAATATTACATAGTTACATCCCGAGTTAATAAAAGCGAAGTAAAAAAGAAAGCTGTCAAGCGAAAGCTCAACAGTCTTATGTAGGTATGGCACTCAGTATCAGTGTTGCCATTTTAGCCGTTTTCCGGCTAGATTTAGCCGGTTGCGATAGCAATCAGCCGGAGAAAATTCGATTTAGCCGGCAGCCGATTTGTTAGCCGTTTTGCATAAAAAGTTAGCTGTTTTTAGCCGATTTCGCTATTTGCCGTATTTTATTAAAATTTACATATATGTACATACATATAAGTTCCATTTTTACATATTTGGCGACCTAAAATCTATTAGAAACTGCTAGCCTTATCTCGGAAAAAATTTTCATGACGGGCTGTGTTAAATAGATATATAAAATTTAAATAAATTTCTCTAATACTTTTATTTTATGTGAATATACAGTGACCCAAATATGAACTGGAACGCGACATTTCGGCTTATTATTTTTTTATATGAATTTATAGCTGATTACTTACAAACTCCATTTAAATCCAATTTCATATTTTATGCAAAAATTATGAAAATTCTGATTTTTTTTAATTTAAAATTTTAGTATAGTAAAGTACAAATTTAAGGTAGCTGGCACTTACCGTTGATTATTGAAAATTTTTTGTTGACGGTGTTCCGCATATTTCTTCATATAAAAAAATTTAGAACATACTTTGTATGGAAAAAATTCGTAACGCCGTTATAAACAAATTACAAAAATCAACGGCGAGTCCTAGCTACTTAAAATGTTCACTATATTATACTAAATTTTAATGTACTACAAAACTGCATACATACCAATATGTAAATATGCTGATTAAAAAGTTAAAAGTTGGTGAAATTTTTGCAAAAAGTCTGAAATTGATACTTATATGGGGTTTGTTGAGTAATCAGCTATATTTTCATAAAAAACAATAAACATTAAATAAACTAAACAAAAATAGCCAACACTTGCTAAAATCTCGCGTGCCATTTTATATTTGGGTCACTGTGTTTTTGCCAAAGAAGGACGGAGCGGGGACTTTCCTTATACAATTTTTGTTATGAATGGCTTAAATTTAAGTGCAAGGTTTTATTCGAAACACTTAGAAAACAACGAATGAGAATAAAAGAGCACGAATATCGATGTGAAGCAAAACTCTATGGGAAGACAGTACCGTGAATAATTGTATCATGGTGCCAACATACTTTATTGTTGCTTATTATTTCTCTGAGACAGGCATGTGAAAGAGTGAGTAGGACATTAAAAAATGGAGTTTCACATATATAGACATCAAAATACAATTAAATAGTGGAATTGTTAAAAACTTAAAAAGCGACCGGCTTGTTCGATATAAATTAATGGCGTTTTCTTTTTTCAGCCCTTTCACAGCTTGACGTGTTCATTTTTTAAAATATTGCCCTCCGACTAAGCAAAATACTTTATACTAATATAGCCATTTTTCTGGACGAAAAGTAACCTAGTGCAAATGTTACAATGTAAGGCAAAATTTTTTAATAAAAAAAAAACACGCTATAAGTTTTTAATTAATCTCTTTTTTATATTTAAGTATTTAATACAAACATGACTTCTGATGTACGTATAACGACAGTTCCTTTTGTTAAGCAAAAATAGTTTGTAATCAATTTACCAGTCTCTGTTTTTGTGATTTATTTATTTATTTAAAAAAAACTAATGATTTTACTTTCTACTTGCGATTTCTTTAAACAAAACATGTAAATTTAAGTTGAAACATTTTAGCCGTTTTTAGCCGCTTTTTTTTGCCAATATAGCCGGTCGCCCCAAAAAGTTCTGGCAACACTGGTTGCACACCCGAAGGACGGGGCCTTTCATGTGACACCACAGTTTTGAAAATCGAACGAACGATACGGATTTTACGACTTTAAATATTTAACGCAACCTTCTCCGAACTCGTGTAAGAAGTTTCACTTCAAAACAAACAACACAATGGGAAAGAGTGTCCAGCAAAGAAGTATGTATTTTAAAGTAAAAAGTAAAGAAGTATAAGTTCGGGCGAAACCGAACTTTATATACCCGGCGCCGTATCGTTAAATATCGTTTCAACTTTCTCTGAACTACCTTTGCATGGTAAGTAGAGGTTTTTAATCGATATCAAACGTTTTCGATAATATGCAGAGTTAGACTTAATTTTATAATTGAACCTAGTTAGGTACCAGTCGATTAAGTGGTTATCGAGATACACCTTTGTAGTTATAAAGTGGGCGGTGCTACGCCCAATTCCTAAAAGTCTATAGCAGTTATTTATTGTTAGGTGATTGTTGTAACTATTAACTTGGAGTAAATTGACGTCCTCAGTTGTTCAAATATCGGAGTTTTCGTATTTCTGAAATTCACCGTTATTCGGAAGGTGGGTGTAATTTTGCTCAGATTTGAAAATTTTTCAACAAATTGCTTTTCCGTACCAAGGTTATTAAGTGCACCGAGTTTGGTAGAAATTGATAAATCGGTTACCGAGATACACATTTGTGGTCATATAGGGGCGGCGCCTCGCCCATTACCCAAAAATCTATAATATTAAATTTTTTTGATAAGTGGTTATTGTAATCATCGATTTTAAGTGAATTAGCTCCAGTAGTTACTGATTTATCCCAGTTTTCGTGATTCTGTAAATTTCCGTTATATGGCAGGTGGGCGTGGTTATTGCCCAATTTCAAAGATTTTAAACACATTTCTTAGCTAGACCTTACCCAAATCTCGCACCGAGTTTGGTAAGGATTGGTGAAGGGGCTACTGAGATACGGTATTTTATCATAAGTGGGCGGGGTCACGCCCATTTTCCAAAAATTTATTAATAATATTATTGTTTACCACAATTTAATAACATACTAATTTTGAACAATTTGCATCTAATATTTACTGAAATATCGCAGTTTTTGCATTTTTCGAAAATACCGTTATATGGGAAGTGATCATGGTCACAGTCCGACTTCTCTTTTCATTCTGATCATTTATGTATACATATCTATCTCAATTCGTTTTGGCTGTTACAAACAACCGTTACGCGAACAAAGTTAATATACCCTTGGACACAAGTGCTGTCGGGTATAAAAAGAGCCAAAATGTTCTAAAAGAGCCAAAATGTTTAAAGTAGTATCTGTTACTTATATTCATAATTTTGCTTTGAATAAAAATGTACTGAAAAGTACTGATTTTTTTAGCATGAAAAAGTGTAACGTACTGATTTCGCGCATAAAAAATCTGGTAGCCCTATGCGTGATAAACTTGACTTAAGAAGCATATTAAAGGAGTGTCAAAAATGTTTAATCACCCTAATCGATGCACTTTTGAAACGATTACCTAGTCAATTAAATACTTTAAAAAAAGCTTTGATTTTGTCACCAGAAAAGTGTGTGAATCACAAGAGGGCGAGTTTCAGGGACCTGTCAATTCACTATTTGACTTTGAAGGAAAAGCAGCGGAAACCGGATATTTAAATCTTTTAGCTTTCCCATGAAATAACTTTTCTCCGAACCATTCCATCCGACTCTGAAGAATTTTGGATAATTGCTTACGTAGTGAAAACCGCAACAGGCAATAAAATGTTTGGTAATATAAGTCAATCCATATTTTTATCCAGCCGCACCCACATGCTTTGTTGAGCGCGTTTTTCCCGTAATGAATTCCACAAAAACTAAGATTCGAAATAGGATGAGGTTGGAAAGCCTTAATTCAATAGTTCGAATAAAGTGTTATATGAAGGCTAATAGTTTTAATAGTAATAGTTTCTGCTGCAAAACGTTTCCAATATCAAACAGTATGTTATCAAGGTTCTCAATATATGAAAACAACAGATATGTAAATCATTCAGACACTATATGATTTTGAAGAAATTGTGGAAATAGCTGATCTCGCCTTATTATAGGTTTTTATTTAATTTTTAGCGCCGACCTCTTAAAAGCGGATTGTGCGATTAATCCATTAATATGAGTTATAATAAATTTAATAACTGCTCAGTCCTATTGCAAAATGTGTTGAAACAAATATTTTTAAATAGTATGCGTATTTACAAAGAAAATTGTTTGTACATCACTGTTATACAAGTGATTTTTGTTATTTATTATTACCCTCTGAAGGTATTATATTCGTTTTTGGTTTTAAAAACTATATTATAACAAGATCTCATTTTTAAAATAAAAGATATGTAAAATCGGTTTCATGAATTTTATTTTAAAAAAATTGGCGTCTTTTGGCGTTTTTTTTCAGAAATTGCGCTTTTTTTTAACAATCTGGACACCCTCTTCACAACCATCTTAGAAAACTAAATGAGAAAAATCAATTGAGTGAATCGTACAAATGTATGTACGCGTTAAAACATACCAATTGCACCAATGCATTGAGGAAACCCAATTTGGTTGAACCCAGACATACACTCTCGTATCTTGTCTTTACTGAAAAGGATGTGACTAAGGTAAATAGGATGTAATACAATCCATGCTTGCTTGCAAAACTCTAACACGATTAAGCATTAAGTCGATTTTCCAATTCCGAACATATTGCCTACACTGCGGTACTCAGAGGACGATCCCAGGGCATACACAGCAATGGGTACCCGCTTCTTACGGCTAATGGCTAGAAATGTTAAGAAAGTATCCATATCATGAATCCATTTAATTCATTGCATGTAAAATCGATATGGCAATATATTGGGCTGAACGATATCGATATCGGAAAAATCGATGTTGAAAATCCTACTCCCAATTGAATAGAATATTACACCTGCTTATCAACTCACATAATTGTGTTACTTCCATCTTGTATATTTATTGAGGATTAACACGGAATGCCGATCGACTCAAGCGGTTTGTCAAACTTAAGAGCTAAATAAATCACACAGGCTGCTGATTAAACCTACTTTAGTATTTTCCATACACTTTTTTGTAGATGAAAAATAAATTTCAACTTAAACATCGATATTACAGGTAAAGTAACGATATATCGACCCTGGAATATCAATTCAAAAAAACGATTATCGTGCCATGAAATATCGATATTCAGAAAAATCTACACGATATATACAAGGTGGTGCTACTGGCGAATTTAGATTTTCGCAGCGGTACTTCTGCATGTCCAAATGATGTGTTTGTTGTAAACAAGGCGAATTCATATTACAACCAACACATCATTTTGACATTAAGACGTACATCGTCGAAAATCTAAAGTCGCCATTAACACCACCTTGTCTAAATTCGCCTTGGCTAATGACTCCGAAAATTTTTGTCTTTCTTTTCCAAACATGAAAGAAGACCGCATAGTTTGTCAAAGTTACTGCGCTTCATGTGAAAATTGTTCCTAAAGAACTCCTCCCCATTACTTTGGCAATCAATCTCCCAAAACATACCCCTCCGATTCTACAACGGCAAAGATATGTATATGTATTAATAAAAGTTGAATAACAAGAACTAGGAAAAGTTGGTCTACCAGTTTTCAATGCATTTTATTATGCGGTTTCTGCAGAATTGTTAATATCATCCATTGTTTATTCAAGCAAAACCACATCATATTCACTAAAAACTCACTTCTTGTACGGTAAAGCGAAATGCTTTGGGCGCAAGCATTTTCCAATTCTACATGTATGTAGATACTTTTGGATTGTTGTAAAATATATTTTCGCAATAAACATAATAATATTTATATTTGAAGGTATTTTGGTAAAAAACAACGATGTGAACAAGAAAAATTAAACAAACAAATGTCAAATCAAATTCTGAGTTTCTCAAACACTCCAATACGAACGCTTGACAGTTGTTCATAAACACAAAACCTCAAACTCGAGTTAATGGTGCAATGTGAATATCATTTTAACAATATGGATATGGAACATGAGATGGTTTGCCACCTGTCAAAAAATGTAATTCAATTAATTTCAAAGAATTACTACGCTAAGGGTATCATCCAAATGGCTTTAAAAGGGCTTAATTTTAAACTACATTTAGTAGGATTGCTACCAGTTTAAAAAATCAAATTCAAAATAACATATGATTAGGAAAACAACTATATGGACCAACCATTATGTTGAGTTTTATTGAAAAAATGTGCACCTAATCTAGGGTTGCCAGATTCTGAAACAGAGAAAGGAGTTCATTTCTATTTTCGATAGAAAAAAAGCAGTACAGAATTTAAAAAAGGAGGACAATTTTTGTTTTAATTTATTTTTGTGCAATTTATTGTTACAAATTACCATTATTTAGGTACAAACAAACACGGATATCATAGAAATCTTTTTCAAAGCAACAATAAATGTTAAAAATAAATAACTAAATTCTACAAAAGAATTCCTGGTAAACGCAAATGAAGGTTAAAATTTAAAAACTTATTAATAAAATTTAGGTAAAATCTGTGGATAATTAACAATAAACTACTTTTTTCGCAAAATCTATAAAGTTCCCTTTTATTTTTCAATAACACCTGTGCAACAGTTATTATTTTACGCCCTGTATATGATAAAATATTAATAGCTGGAAAAAGGAGTACAAAAGAAGTACAAGACTAAGAAACGAGCACATTTGCAGATATTTTTTTTTGAGTACATTACTATGAAAAGGAGTGCGTTTACTCCCAAAAGCAGTACGTCTGGCAACCCTAACCTTATCTAACACGCAGATATTTCATACACTCATCGAACTAACTATAGCATATAGTAGTTTGTTTTATTTAAATGTGTTTCAACCTTAATTTTTTAGTACATCTTTTGCGCCTTCTTAGAATTAATAATTAAAAATAATACGTGGCAGCTCTGTACAAATATCTCCAGATACCCTTAAAATTAAAAACATTATCTGAATAAAAAATTCATCAAAATCGTTAGAGTCGTTTCCTTGAAACCCTTGGATATATACATACATATTTACAATCATCGATTTTTTAAAGTCATAAGATACATACATATATTTAGTTTGAGAAAAAAAAGCTTACGATTTTACTGCCTTAAAAACTTGTTAGCAAATTTTTACTGGAACTTATCCTTAATTAGAGAATTTTTTTTCTATGTACTGACTAAAATTTTCTCCCTGCGATTCTCCAAATTGTTATATTGAATCGGCCAAATACCCCTCTGTGCAACGGTGGGCAAATTGCTGCGATGTTTCATTAGGAGACTCTTCACGTGTGCGCCTGACATTATTTGTTGCCCATCGCATCCGAGTATTTCCAAACGGACGCGTTTGTTTCCAGTTGCAGTATTTATCATACCGAATATGAAGACAAAATCTCCCACTCACATACATGGATAGACCAAATTTCAAATGGTGGTCTGATAAAACCTAAACCTGAATTCCTTGTTCACATAAAGAAACTGAAAGTAATTTTTAATAAATTTAATGGAAAGGAAATGTCGAATTGCAAAAATTTAATTGCTAAATTATTGAAGTTAAGTTCTGATGTAGAATTTAGAATCAAAATTTTTTTTAATGTCTAATATACTTTCCAATTAAACATTTGATTAAAAAAATAAATGCTCAAAAACACTGGGATAGTAAGATGAAGAAAATTGTCAAAACGGTTTCATAAATGAGTGTGTTTCATTTACAGGTCTATTCTGCACGTTACCGAAGCAATGCAGCTATGAAGAATTGTGCAAATTCTGGCATTGCATATTTCACGGGGCAATACTTTGTTACCAGCTTATGAGATGGTAATAAAATTTACCGGTTACAAGAGTACACAGAATGCGAAGAAGGTTTAAAAATTTACAGGAACTTTATTTACCGGTTACAAACTTTTTATTACCAGCGCAGAATAGACCTGTTAGTGTGTAATTTTGTGTAAGTATGCATTTCCACATTTACATTAAAATGAAAATTCAATAACTAAAATGAAGCTGATTCTAATGAGATTTTTAATATCTTCATATTTACAAAAACTTTCGCTTCAAAGATATTGAGTTTTATCGAATATGATAAAGGCATAACAAAGGGTTAATTTCTTTGTTCACATTTTTTGACATTACAGTCAGCTATGCGAGAACTTGACTGAATTTTCACTTCTTCCTCGTTGAATATGCCTTGAATCGCCATCCAATTACCCTTCGAATTACGTAATTCGCCATACAAATTTTTGAGAGCAAATAATCTCATGACGAACGATGCATTCTGTAAAATTTTTAGGAAATACATCGAAATTTTACAGCCAAAACAAAATAATAAAAAACACGAATTATTGCCGTAATTAATAAAATAGTAATTAAAATATGTATGTATGTAAATATGTAAATATGTTTTCTCCATCTTCGATATTTGCAGTAAATAAAAATAATAATAAATAGCGATGAACAATAAGTAGAGCTGCCAAACGAATTACGAATGTGGCGTGGAAACAGGTTAATTCAAGAATTACTTAGGGAGCGAATTATGAATCGAGGAGACGTCGTATAGGTCTCAGATTGGTTCTAACGTCACAGAGTCGTTTTTGCGAAAATTGCAAATAGAGGGTACTGAGTGTAATGGGCTGTTTTCGCTTGCGCGTAAACGTACATTTAGCGCATTTAGCTCAAAATGCTACTCTAACTGTACATTTATCCATACAATATTCGTCACCTAAATGCAATTAAATGCAACTACATTTCGGCATAAAGAATCTAAATGTTAAAAGCAACCTGTGAACTTCAAAAATTTCCACGATTCGAACATGGTTTAGTGAGAAAAACCGGCAACATTGCTTTTTCGCGTATACAGTTGCTAGCTGCGTTTCAGTTATCGCGAATCGAGATTTCATTTATTATTTTACATTATTTTGATAAAGAAAAGTTACGCAACATCAATATCGATGTGATGCTAATAGAAATCTGCATAAATTTGTGATCAACTCTGTTTGTTTCCTAATTAATTGAAGAAAATGGTTAAAACAATTCAAGTTTTTGTATTGAATTTTTGGTTTAAAATTTAGCCTTTTCAGTAGGGTTTTTTTGCACATTATCTTCTCCGTGAGAATTGATCGTGATAGATCCGGATCTGAATAAGCGACTGGAACACGGCTGTTTGTCAAAAGCATACGATTTCGAGCTCGCGTAAATGTAGATTTGCTTAATGCGAAATCATGAACCCCCTTCGAAAAAATATGTTCGAAAGTGTTAAATGTTGCATTTTAAATGCAGCAAAAACGCAGCGTAAGCCCTCATTTTGTTTCTTTACTAGAGCTTCTAAAATATTGCAAAAAACGCGATTTTTTGACACTTTCACCTCGTTTTTTCAAAATCTGGAACCGATGGAATCTTTATGCTTACGGATTCGTAATCAGAACAAAAACGTCTATTAAAAATAGCTTTAACGTTTACCGTACCAAAATTTTTTTCTATTTTTGTTGGGCTGTGTTATCCATTAAAAATTGGCAAAAATTCAGATTTCCGGTCAATGATCGGACTTCTACCACATTGTGGTAGATCTGCCACTTTTTTGAGCGTCTCCCACCACACAAGGTCTGAAATCTACCACATATTCGCGTTTTTGAGTAGTTATATTTTTGCTCGACATAATGGGAGGATGAAATAAACTGTAAAATAGTAAAAGTGTTCAATAATCAATTTATCGACAGGAACCGTGGTTTTATTATATATTATTTATAAAAAGCAAAAAATAAAAGCTGGCAGTACTCTCAAGGTTGCAGAAAAATATCTTGATATAGAAGGAACTGCTTTACACTGTCAGGGAAAAAAATTGATAAAACTCAACGCAATTTTTAGCAACTTCAATCTTGAACCGGGTTGCTCCGGTAATTAGAGCGTGAAAATAAGTTCCTTTTTCACAAGTGTCAAAAATGTGTCACTACGTGCCGAAAATGCCCGGAATCAACAAATCAGCTCTAAACAAGGATTTTATGCGTATC